CCCTGTGCTCTCTCCCCCCCCCCCCCCCCCCCCCCCCCCACAGCTGGCTACTGATTGCAATTATTAAGAGGCCTCAGCCTTTTTACACAAGCATATCTCTTTATAGAAGTGGATGCACTTCAATGGTTCTGATCAGATTTGTTCCCACTGAGGCCATTCCAATCACATTAGAAGTAAATTCACATGCCCCACTTTTCTGCCACAGCCGTCTATATTCAATTCAGGCTTGAAAAATTGGTTGGAATGCCACCTGATGGGAAACTTAATGCTTTTTGTTGTGCTTCTTTCAGCACCAAAGTAAACTTTCTCATTTTACTGTTGAGTTTGTTGATATTTTTCTCTTTTTTCCTGCAGTGTAGCAAGTAGAGCTGCTCAGCAAGGGGTGTATTTGCTAAATGACTACACTATTAGAGCAGTAGTTGTGTTCTGAACTATTACATAAAAGGTTACAGTTAATTACCTGTCTAGCATCACAACATTGGACTGTGTGTCCTTGGCTCGTTTGTTTTTCTTTCTATTTTAAATACCAACATGTTTTATCATCTCTTAAATAGGGAGATTTTCAATATTTCACAAATTTAATAATTTTTACCCATCATTTACCTAAAATGCCATGCACTTTCATAAGATGCAACAAAATACCTGATGTGTGGGTTTAGCCAGACTTCTCATTTAGTACAGCCGTCATTTCTATTTGGGTGAGAATAATTTTAGAGGCTGACTAATGTAGTAATTGTCACACCATGGCACTGCTTTTTCAGTTCCATCTAAATCTCATGCTAGTCATTTATGTGCTGCTCATTTTTGTGTTCTGGCAGCTGGAAAAATAAACACTTTTATTATCTATAAATAACGTTATCTCCTCTGTAAAGGCAGGGAAATGAGGGACATTCTTATTCAACTCCAGCAGGTTTTGTTTTTGTTAATTGTTTTCCTGTTTCCTAATGAAAATTGTATTTTATAGGGTTTTACCACATGGTGCTACTTGGGAAAGCTTTTTAGTTTGTGCCTCTTTGAAGTACATGCAGACCTCATCAGTTGGACATGTCAAATGTGGGAACAAGAAAACAAAAACAAACAGCAAAACTTTTTAATACACCTAGTGGATATTGGTATTTAACATTCATGGAAAGTAGCTACCAATCCTGTCGCTGTCAAGTCTGAGTGGAAAGTGTTTACTCACAAAGAGTAGAAGAAATGAGGCAACAGTTTCTAAAAAAAAAATAAAAAAATCTCCAGTACATGCAACATAAACACTGTCTGACCCCAAGCTTCACTTTCAAATGTCAGAAACTGGGAAACACAAACATTTCCAGGCAAACTATCAGACATTCATATCACCTGTACATTTTTATTTATCAGGTTTGTAAAGTTGCTAAAGTAGCTAGGAATCTCCCAATAAATATATGATACACCCAGATGATATAATGTCTTTGTCTTTTTATTTTTTTACAAAACTAAAAATGAGAGAACAGATTTAAACCAGCCATAAGACTCGGTGTTTTCCTTAAATGTCAAGATAGAGATCAGAACGAATTAAACAGAAACCAAAAAGCTTTACAGCTGTTAACTCACATTGCAACTTTTAAATAATACATACTTGTGGCTTTTTGGCGAAATTTGCCGATTTCAAACTAAAATATGTAATTTACATGAATCATCTAGATCCGAAGAGTATTTTTTGGGGGGGCGAGGTGGATGGCATAGTATCCCTTTAAGAAACTGTGTTCCTCCATGGTCACTTAGCTTAGCAGGTGCTCCTCTCTTGGTGGGGTTTTTCTCGATGGGGAGACATATTCATGTTGCGCGCTAATTTACCTCTATGTTAGTGACAGAAGTTGTGTGTGTGTGTGTGTGTGTGGGGGGGGGGGGGGGGGAATGCGAGAGAAGTGTAGAAGTTGTGACACCAAGGTAGGAAGGAACCTGTAAACCCATTTTGTTCTAATTACGTGCAGGTTGACAAAAGTGACAAAAAAATGTTTTTTTTTGTTTGTTTGGTTTTTTGTCACTTGCTTGACACAGAGTAATTTTGTGTTGTGAAGGCTGCATGATGTCATGTCATTTTTTGTTAAAAGTAGGCCTGTCACTAAATCAGAAAACGGTAAACTCCGGTTTCTTTCCACAGACTAAAAACATGCATGTTAGGCTGATTGATAACTAAATTGTCCCTAGGTGTGAGTGAGAGAGTGAATGGTTGTTTGTTTCTGTGTGTCCCTGTGATGGAAACCACCCAGATAGGAATCAAAGCATCTTCACCTTCAGAATAGAAGTCCCATTGTTTTTGTGTTTTCACTTTTTTTTTTTTTTGAGTTATTGAATTTACATCACAAACACTTAGAAACAGGACAGGTGATGAAATGAGGCGACTACTCCTCAAGTTGACACAGAAATATGGGTAACTATTATTTATTTAAAAAATAACTTTTTTTTCTTCTTCAGCAAACACTATCTCGCATATTAACGTACTAAACTTACTGTATGTCTGCCACTTGTCACCTCATATATATTGCAATTTATTCTACATTTTGAATAGGAAAAAGTTTTACCATTTTGTTCATATTACACAATAATGTACTGTTATGATATTCCATGCAATCTTTACCATTAAGATTCCTAAATAATATTCATTGTCCTTTCTTAAATGTGGTTGGAAATTCACTTAAAAAAATCCACTAAAGTTTTTACTTATTGTGAAAGATTTATAGTAGTTATCAAAAAAAAAATAATAGTACTTCTCATATCCATTCAACCCTTCAACTTAAGTTTATTTTATTTTTATTTTGTGTAAAATAAATGATGTTGAGTTTGTAAGTGGAGGTGCTACTTTCTTTACAGATGCCATTGCTGACATTGCTTTTCCTTAGAATTTGAATTCTAAGGCAAATACGACATTAATAGTTTTATTTACGTATTTATTTTCTCACAGGTATTTAGTAGAAGTATGTTTTTTCCCTCTTGTGATTTCCAGGGCCTTCTGTAATCATACACAGGTTATATTTCCTCTTTTCAGAATTTTGATTTATCATGAGGACATGTTCCAGCCTATCTGTCTGGTTTTGCATGAAGAAGGTCATTTAAAAGATGATGGCAGAGCTGTATGCCTCCCTGTAGTCTCTCTCCAGCTTGTTCTGTGTCCTTTAGCAAGATAGCTCCCCATAGTTTCAGACCATCGCACTTAGCCTGAGGCCCTCTCTGTCCTCTCCTTTGCTTTGCCACTGCCCCCGCCTTTCCCTAAGTTTCCCCCATCACTTCCCTCCTGTTATCTTACCCCTCTTCTCTTCTTCTATGTCCTTGATGAGGTAATGCCTGTCCGCCATTTTCTTCTGTCTATTTTATCACTCGTTACTTACTTGTCTTTTTCTTTCTGCCACCCTTCGTTGAGTTTGATTTCTTAAGAATTGTTTAAACATCTGTCAATTTTACAATTAGCTTGGATCTTTTTATGAAAACTGCTAGTTCTAACTTGTAACTGTTGACCTCCCTCTGAGTAATCCTCCGTTTCCTTCCCGTTTCCTGGGTCAAAAGATGACGAGGTGTTGCAAATCCACGACTGTAAAAATTTGAGGCACGAAGACATTTTTAGAACCATTCATAAAACTTTTTCTTTAGCCCCAGTCTATATTGTTACTTGTGAAAGTCGTTGTAAGTATAGTTATTTTTATTAGCATTATTATTATTCTGTACTGTATGTCCTCTGTCTTTGTAGCGCCTCTCCGTCTTCCCTACAGTAATATCTCCTGACAGTGGAAGGTCATATTAAAGTGTTGTGTTCTCGGGGAGGCTACCATTGGATACATCAAGTTTATCATAGAGATGTTGCAAGAAGAGATCACATTCCTGCAGCATGCACAAAATGACAACTTTATTACACATCCACACATCCTGCATAGCAAGATTGGAAACAAATACCCTCATAAATACAAATAAACCACTTGCAAACACCTTTGTCTGTTGTCCTCCTTGGCTTTATGTTTTGTTTTTTTGGAGGATATGATTCCCTAAATAAATCTGCTGTTTTATTCATTGTTTTTTTTAACACAGTGGCTCCTCTCTTGTGCTCAGGATCTTAACAAAGAAGACGCCTTGCTGCAACAACTGAGAGAAAGGGACGAGCTGATTCTCAGACTCCAAAGTGAACTGGTAAGAGTCACATACCAATCATGCACAGTATATACTGTACCTAGACTTTAGTGGCTTTACTTATACATGAAATACAAAAGATAGGTTAAATAAGGTGAAATTTACACTTTTTTTTTGCCAAACCTTTTAGATTATTACTAAACCTAATTTGGATCACCTGACACAACTGAAGAATGATCAACTGCACTTATGACATATTTATTTAATCCAGCACATCAGCACTTTATGTTAAGAATTTTAAAAGTCTTTTGATTAATTTTTAGGCTTTAAAACTATGATAATAAAAGTAAGATGCTTAAAAAAACAAATACTTGATTACACACACGGGTAAGAAATGTAAAGACACCGTAAATAAAAGCAAAGGATAAAAAACAAGACCTTTTCAACACTGCATGCTCAGTCTTAGAGTTGCATTCGGGCCCAAAAAATCCGATCTGACCCGGCCGCAGCCTTCATTTCTGAACCCCACCCGACCAGAAGAATTAACAGTAATTACAGGTTCAAACCTGGACTCCCCCCCCGATATTTTTAATTAGTTATTAACGGTTGGGGATGCGTGGCTGAACCAAAGGGGCAGAAGATCGGCAGTGAGGGGGTGTTTGTCCTTTCATGGCTTTCATTGACCTCTCTTGACTTCTCTAAATGACTTTAAAACCCTGTTAAGTACCTGGCAAAAGCCAATGCAGACATGTTCCTGTTTGTAATTTTCTAAATCGTCTTGTGATCTAACTTTTTTGCTGCTATTTCCCTTGATTGTCCTTTTGGTTGCTATTTTTCGATTTGTTAAAAAAGAGAGAGAGAGAGAAACTTAAATTAGTATGCCCATTTTATGATTGTCTATTGTTGTTGTTGTTGTTATCCATTGCGGTCATCATTCTTTGTTAAGAAATCAGGTCTCTCTTGTAAATGAGTTCTTGAGGCTCAATGAGATTAACCTGTCTAAATAAATGTTGAATGAATAAATGGCCGTCAAAGAGTATTTAAACCCTGTTTCTGCCTGTTTCTCACCTGTTTGGGTCGTTGGTCGCGCGCGTCCGCTGAGTGCAGCAGCTGAATGAGCATATAGTCCCATCTGAAGCTTAACTGAACTTTTTGCCTTTTTCAAGGCTGGTCAGCTCACGGTGAAATGGCCATGTGTGGCTGATGAAGGTTTGGAAAGCCATGTTACCATATAATTGGATTGCGGCTGATCCGCAGACCCAATCAAAAGCCCGACACCGACCCGGCCCGCCCATCCAGCACATTATCATGGCCCGGCCCAACCCGACCCAAATTCGGGTCCAGGTTAGAAATGACAGCTCTACAGTCTGCATGAAAGGCAAAAACAACTCACAGCGGAATTTATTTAAAAAAGCTGAGCTATTTCAATTTTATAAGCTTTTTCTGTTTGTTTGCTGTTATCTTTTCTAGTTTTGCAAGACAATATGTTGCTAAGGAGAGGGTGACAAAAAGTTATGACAAAAAGACAAAAAAACTGGGAAAATAAAAGAAAGCTTGGAGTGCCAAATACTCAAGTCAGTCAATAAATATCGATGTATCAGCAGAAAACCCGTTTTCTATTTTTACTGAATTACTGTTTCATGCCAGTGGAGGAGTGGTAGCGCAGAGGTTAGAGAAGTTTGGTCTGTGATCAGAAGGTCGCCGGCTTGACTTCCCGGACCGACGACATCATAATATGGGTGGGAAAGGTGAAGCACCCACACCTGCCTCCACCCTCATTTGCCCCACTGTGGGACCTTGAGCAAGCCCCTTAACCCCCACCATCTGCTCCCCTGGGTGCCCTAGATGGCATCTCTCTGCTCCACACAGAGGGTTGTGGTAGCTCAGTGGTCTTTTGTTGTGTCAGGAAGGACATCCCACATAAAAACAATTACCAAGTCTTCGTGTGAGTTAGTTCGCTGTGGCGACCCCTGAAGAAGGGAGCAGCTGAAAGAAGAAAAAATAAACTAAACAAAAAATCCTGTTTCATGCCAGTATAATTTTAAAAACGGAGCTATTGGAAATGCAGTCCAGATCCAAAAACTCTATTTCCAACCTTGCCTTTGTAGATGAGCATTAGAAACAAGTTTGTTATATCCATACTGAATATCATACTAATGAAATATAGAAATTTAAATACAAAATATATTTTGAAAACTTGATTCTTGAAGCAGTTGCAAAAATGCTCCATAAAGCAAAATTTATCATTTGTCATTTACATGTCTGTAATTTGTCACCTGCTCCATCAAAGTAATGGAATGCAGACATTACGCCAGGCTTTAGCAGAATAATGTGTCAGTGTTAAAGCAGTGAGCGATGCCAGTACAACCCACTGACTTGAGTCTCATACAACATCTGTTTGTTTGATCACTTTTTGGCACTTGCATTAATTTTTTCCTCATTCTTACATCTCCTCTCATCATCTCCCTTTATCTTCCTGTCAGAAGCACCTGTCTTCATCTTTTTTTTTTATTTATTTTTTTAATTTAGCTGTGCCACTAATGCAGATCTAATACAGACTTGAGCAAGTTTGCTAGCAGCATGACATACAGGTTACATTATTGACACCAAATTCTTTTTGCACTGAACACCTTCATATCCTCATATTGCTTTCAGGGTTAGTATTAGTCTTCACAGTAGGATTTTTCCCTGCTTCATAGAAATATTACTTTTAGACTTATAATTTTATTTTATTTTTTTGCACAGGGCATCTCAGTAAAAAATGAATTAAATTTTCCATCCGATTTACAATTCTCTCTCCCTTCTATTCCTTAACGCCTGTAAAGGTTAAATAAACTTGAACAAATTAGAGTTTAACCATCTGGAAAAATGTTTGTTGCTTACAAATAAATGCATATTACCTAAATGGGTTGTGTCTGAATCCCCTACAGTTACATTAGGGTATAATCGTACTTTTTCCCTTCTCTGCAAATATTATTTGACGTCTTAGGTGGGATTAAAATTAAATTTAGCTTCTGTTTCCAAACTATGTGTGTTACTGATTACGAATACTTTCCTTCAGTATGTGACATGACCATTGACATCCATAAACATGGTCAAAGTATCTTTGTCTTCTCCCTATGTTCAAAATTAAAGACAAAATGTTTGTTGGAAGCTGTCAAGTTGTATTTTTGGACCTAGCATCTGCACACTTTGTAGGGCTGTAACCCTGAATTTGAAAGACTCACCCACACACCTTCCCAACTTGCTAACAGGCAAATTACATGTCAATCACAGTGTATTTTGACACTTTGGAAAATGCATATTTGAACATACAACATCAAGATAAGGACTGTGTGAAACAAAACAAAAACCAACAGTTGAACAAAAAAAGCTAATGTTTTGTTTATTTATTTTTAGGAAAATGTCACATCCGTTTACATGCAGGGGTGTGACAAAGTTTGTACTGAAGTTAACCTAGTAGGACTCTCTGGTCCACTGTGGCTTCAACTTCCAGCTTTCAGTCCTTTCTCTATTTATAATACAGCTGGAGGTGATTCTAAACATCTTAAACGTTTTCATTTCTCTTTGTTACATCTTAGCTAGTCACACGAGTTTAGAGTATGAAATACTTGTACAATCTATTTATACATTTACCCAGGTATAGACTAAAGTTGTTACAAGAGTTTAAAGTTCATATGAAACAGATAAAACTTGGAATAAGGTGTAATATAGAGAGGCGTGGTTGCAAAGGAAAGCAGCTTTGAGACTTTGTAGATTAGCAACATAGTTCAGGGGGCAGCCTGGAGGCTACACATTTCAGGAGGGAAGCCTGAAGGTAGACTGGCAAGTATGGTCAGAAGTATACCCTAGACAATGAGACAAAAACCCTTTAGGTGCTGCCAGGCAACAGTCCTGACAAGTAAAGACAGAACCCATCAGGGAGTTTGAGAAGTAGCAAGTATGACAAGCAAACCCAGATTTTCTCTGGAGGTCTGGTGCTTATTGGGCTAGAATCAAGCTATAGGATTATTGTAATGAAATTATTGCACACTCAGAACCAGGCAGACTATTTCCTGACAAAATCGGAACTTGATCAGGTGATTGTGACATGTGATGTGGGCCCAAATCTAGTCAAGGTTTGTATTGTGTAAATCAAAAAACGAGGAAATTCAAAATTTTAAAGACAAAATAAAACCCTACAAGCTTACAATTCTATAATGGGCATATAGAGCATCTTGAGACATGTCATTGCAAACATTGAAAAAAAAAAAAAAATAGGAACAGAACTGACACAGGACTAGAGAGATTCATCTTGTCCTTTAAACTTTTGTCCAAGTTTTTGGCTTATATACTTGTTTTGAAAATTCAAATTTGTGTCAATGTTTGATTTGGCCTTTTTTTGGGTAACTAAATAATTGTGCTATTCTTTGTTCTAAGTGTTGTGACAAGTTGGAGACTCTGAAAATGGTCATGCACAAGTACTGGGCTGAAAACAAGTTAGAAGAAATAGGCACTATTCAGGGTAAAGCTTTGAAAGACCTTCTGAAAGATGTGATCAATATTACTCAAGACCATTATAAAATAAAACAAGAAAGTCTGGCTTCTTGACAGCAAAATATAAGGTAAGACGTAGTGGCTTAAGAGTTTTGCACAGCACCGTATTTATGTGTATTAATAAATAATGGGTAGTTTCTTTTCTGCAGCCAAAGCTTAACCTTATTTTTATCTTTACCATATGCCCTTGGCACATGGGGCACTGGCATTGCTTCAGATTTATTAAGCTGCACAGTTTTGTGAGTGTTGTGCACTTGAACTTTGGTGAGGGTGTGTATTGTCTGCATGTGGGAGTTTTAGAGGAAAATTGTCCAGTTAAAGTGCAGCATTTGAAGGAAAGGGCATCTCGTAGCCATTGCTCTCCTTATTCTGCTCCCTGTCTGTAAAGCTGCCAGTGAAAACCCATTAATTATCTTATAGAAGGACTTGCTAGCTGGCTGGCCATCACAAGCTTTCACTTTTTATGTGTTTTCCTCCATCTTGGATGGTACTCAAAGTGCAACATTCAGCTCAAGAAAGCCTCTTTTGCTTTTCTCGTAGTTAGCTATGATTAATGAAAACAGTATTTTAACTCAATCTGACCTCACTTGTACTGAATTTGAAAAGGACAGTGAATTTAGAGCTTTACCATAAATGATTCTCTTTCATTCCCCTTACCATAAACCTCGTTTTAATTTGGGTAATTAATTGTAATTGAGGTTAATCAATTTCTCCATATGTCATACCCACTGCAACTTTCAACCCTTTCTGTTCTTCAACCCACAAGCAGTTTCAGGAGAAAATGTCAGAATGATTAGTGACAACATCGTAAAGTGCTCCCAGTGGAAATGGTGCAAGGTACCTCTTAGGGCTTGCAACCTACGTTTTAAAAACAATCACGTAGAGGTATGAAAGGAGTTGGCTGGTCCTTGGTCAAGGTAAAATTGCTGTGTTTTGAAGGAAAAGGCCAGTGCTTCTTTGACATCACCTATATCTGTAAATTTCTCTAAGGAAACCTAACAATTATCTTCTAGAGGCCCCGTCTAGCACTTTGGCATGCTTTAACTTTTAAATTTTATGCTCAAATTTTCTGTAAAAAATTATAACTCTCTACTTATGTACTTTACAGATGGATCCTCTTCAACTTTTTGGCTGTTGAAAATAACCCTTGTAATTTACGGTAGTTGGATTTTATGACAATTTGGTTTTCCAGACAAAATGATTGAAGCAGTTATGTTGCATTTTAGTTTTCTTTTAACAGTTAGCAAAGCGAAGAAGCCAACTGCAACAAGTGTTGAATGGAGGCAAATCATAGATCTTCTAGGAAGAGTAGTGGTTCTCATTTTTTAGTATTTGATGTATTTTGGTGAGATGTAGACACAGTTTATAGATGCGTGTTTGTTTTGTATGCAGGATTGTGCCAAAGCTGCCCTGAAGATGAAAGACTGCCAAATGACTGATCGCACAACGCAGACAGAACACACAGGGCCAGAGGTAAGATGCTTACAGACAACACACACAGTCGCCCTGTCAAACTGAAACATAATCACTGCATTGCACACACACGCCTGACCGTTTCCACCAAAAAAAATGTATTAAAAAAATATACAGTTTTCATAGTCCTTGTTCCTGTGAAGGATAATTTATTTTTTCCTGCCATATTTTCAAGAGCATCTTCCACTCTGTTTAAAAAAGTTGTTCCGCATTTTATAGTCCACTATCAGCTCCACTCTTTCTTCTTTCAAAGTCCAACTGCGCTCAGAAAGTGTGCTGATTCCTTTTTGCTTTCCTAATGCCCTTGGATGACACGTCCTCTTTGGCTTCTCGAAAGGCTGACAGTATTGGAACGCAGCAGACCTAATGGATGACTGTCTAAAAATGGCTGCCTGCTAGGAAACGGGAGTGTTTTGGGGTCTGTCTCGTTTTCTCCCTTTTTATTCCTTTTAAAACACCGTTCTCATCTCCTCTTCTTCAAAGATTCTTCTATACTTTTAATCCAGTTGTGTATAAAGTTGGCAAGAAACACAATTAAAAGAAAAAAAGCTTTACCATTGTGTGAAGGAGTGGGTGCCCAGTACCTACACAACACACTGACTTACCCACACAAAAGACGTTTTGAGTTAACTCATGAGCTGAATGGATGCATTATATGGATATAACAGAATCAGTTTGCAATAGCAGCAATGTTTTTCAACCTCCACATGTTCTTTAAGAAATAAGACCATTTAAATACTAATAATGATGCACTTTCTATGGTCTCAAAGAGAAAGAGAGAGAGAAAGAGCTAGAAATGAGCTGTAAATGTTGGTTAAAAATCTGACTGTCATGAAATAAGGCAAACAGCAAAGTTTTCCACATGGTCAGATCCAAACGAGGCACTTTTCATACTGAATGTGGCGAAACGTCTGACAGATTCTCTGTGCAGAAATATACAAGCTTACATACCAGATTCTCTATCTAGATAGATAGATGGATAGATGGATAGATGGATGGATGGATGGATGGATGGATGGGTGGGTGGGTGGGTGGGTGG